GAGGGGTGGAGCGTGCGCCAAAGTGGGTGTCGTTTGTCAGGAGGCATTATAAAATTATCGATGACCTTGTTTAATGTAAGTGCAGATGTGTGATGAATGCGAATGCGTGCACAGCCAGCTGGTCGAAAATGATGCGTTCAAAAGTGAAGCGATAAAAAACGCAAGAGCTTTCTGGAAGACTTAATGTTATGGAGGGCCTAATAGATCTGTCAGCAAATTTTATATTTTATTTAATTTTAAGAACAGTTCCAGAATTATTAACTTGTGTTCGCTACCAAGGGCGCCACTGATCAAAATTGGCTTTGCCACCTAATATGTGTAGGCATAATAAAAAGCAACCGGTAGGGTGCTCTGCTAGCTAGTTAATTTCTGATTGTTTGGTGGAAGTAAAGAGTTCCTTTAATTCTCACAGAAAAATATCACTTCGTAATAATTTGCGGTTCTCATCGCTTTTTGTATCAGTCACTTAAATGTCTAATATTAGTCTAGATTTCACATAGTTATCGTTACAGGTGACTGGTCGCGAGGATTCCGCGGTTTGGCTGCGTTATCGTCATGTAAAACAGAATTTCGAGAAAGCGTTGACACAGCGATACATTATGCAAAAACCTTGAAGTGTGACAAGTTAGTTTAGCTTCGGTTGGAATTTCTTCGGTGCTCAAAAAGTGGTCAAGAAGTTTCATCATCCTCTAATTTGAAGTAATTAAAGACAGAAGAACCAAGTGGCAAAGGTCGAACTCAGATTTGCTGTTTTCTTTTCCCTTCATGTTTTCTTCGTGAGAAATCTTGCTCTACCTGCTTTTTTGACAATGAAACCTATGTATGGATATTCAGGATCCATGTCATGGCTGGTATACCTACCGGCTCAGAACCAGATGTACCGAAACTGTTTATAGATAATGTCGCCTATGCAGCGGAGAAATTTGGCAAGGTACTATAAAAAGTGATATGAAATTTTCTTTTTGAGATTTTCTTGGGATATTCTAGACTGTCTACTGTGTTTCTGTTTTCAGGCTGACATTATGTGCCTCATCGAACCGATCAATCACTACACCGTGCCTGGCTATTTTCTTTCCTCCTATGAGCAAGGTTCTTGATAGGGTACTGACATTACTATTTATTCCTAATACGAAAGAAAAATCTATCGTTACAGCGAAGGAAGTCATTGACGCAGTTAAACTTCCAAATTTGAAAATTCAATATGTAAGTTCATTCCCTTCAAGCCATATGAGTGTTTCTCTCTTCAAGTTATTGCACATTTGCAGGATGTTTTCCACGCCCAACAGATTTGTGGACAAATTTCGGCCACCATAAAGAAGTACAAAGAATTAATAGGTGAGCTAGAGGAGATTATGAAATAGAATAGAATTTAGTTACTATTGTTATTGGTTGCAAATATTAATTGATTGTGAATGTTATCCCTTTAAGGATATATACAGATCGCTCAAGTGTTGCCGGTGCGTGATGGAAAGCCAAAGTACAATGGAGTGCAGATCACAGTTACAGTATGTGCTCCGACAAATTGCACTCCCGAGAACCAAACTGGACAAATAGGACTTAGAGCACACTTTCAACGAAGCTTGTCATGGCGATCACCAAGGAGAAATTGTGTCAAGCAGTGGTTTAAGCATGTAACGATAGAGTTTTTTGCATGTGGAAATTTGGAATTCTTGGACGTTGAAATAAAGTTAAGCTGCTACACCCGGATATCTGATTTTAGTTTATTGTCTCCTCAAGGGACACAAAAATTGAACATCGCCAGCTCGCTTCTGACCTGTCTTAACTGTTCGCTTAGCAGCTGCTCATCAAGGAACGAGTTTGGGCGAAGCCGCGAGCACCCGCACTTTCAATGACACTTGAGCTATCCCAGCTAAAAAAAGATGTTTACTTTGGTTCCGCTAAGCACTCTGGCTTCGCGGCGCACAGAATCCAACTACTGCGGTGGGTGTTGGTCGCACCTCTCAGCACATCTCTTTGATCACTCTCCCGGAGCAGCCGTGCTCCAGCAGTACAGCAGGGCCATGGGTCTGTCCTAAAAGCCCTGCATTTCTTAGGCGCATCCTTCCCTTCTTAACTATGAGTTCGGCGTTATCGACCGCAGTAAAGGCGCAGTTTTGGGGTACTGCTGTACACCCTCCCCCCTCCTTCTGGGAGGTTATTATGGTGTTGTTAGATATTAGACAAAAAGCTCCTGTACTAAGAAGGTGCTCGCCTGTTACTTTGGGAGACCTTTGCAGCATGAGAAGTTTTTCAAATCGGACTTTTTGGAAAAGTGTAAGCGAAGCTGCGGATTAGACGTAGAGCCTGTTTTGGGGATGGAGGAGGGGGAGGTACAGCATAACATGAGGGTTTGCCCCCGTTTTGTGTGGTTTCATTCTGGATTTGAGTTCCGTCAGTGATTATTTTGGAACGGTTCTCCTTTGCCTGTCGTGAAAAGCCCTTTTGTGTATCGCGATCGTGAGAACTTCTTTGTTCTTCTGGAAGCTTCGCACAGTGCACTTTATGTGTTCTTTCTTTTCTCTCGGAGCAGAATCGTTGTAATAATCAATGTGTCCTGGTTTCTCACCTGAGTGGGATGTTTATTTCTCTATTGTATGAAGTCACCATAAGGACATTCGAGAAGGGTTTTTTTTTACCTTTTATTTTTTTGAGCGATTTGTCTTCAAACATTCCTTCATGTTTGCAACTTTGATGTGACATAGTTATTACAAAGTTTTATGAACCACTGTTCCCTTCGTACAGAGCATTGGACTGTAACCACCGTTAGAACCTACCCTACCCCTACCAATAAACATTCGAATATTCGCGAGAACCAACAGAAGTGGAACAGTTGTCGCGTCGCCGCAACAAAGCGCAGGCATTGGAGACATGCCAGCCAGCAGTGATTTAACGACTAACGGGATAGTCGGCACGAACAGCTGCCAGTCACCAGTCAGTAGTCACCGATTCATCTGTTCACCTTCTCGACTGCTCTTCTACAATCCCTTCTATTATGTAGCTGTGTAGTTATAAAGTGTGTATAGCCCATGTCCTGTTATACATACGAACTCCCAAGCTACACCACATCAGGTAAGCATCCAATTCTTTATATCAATTATACAGGATGGCGAAAAATTACGTGGGCCATAAAGAACGTCCTGACACCATTTTTGTCCACAACAATTCGAAGGAAATTAATTTTATAAAACAGCGAACTATTGGGTTGTCCGGAAAGTTTCCGCCGATTTTGACTCTCAAATTCAAAAGCGCATATCTCGGTTCAAACAAAGCGTCTTTGCTCGAAATAAAAACTATTACAATCCCCATACCTTTGCCTACAAGAAATGAGTTTAACTGATCCGGATGTTGGAAGTGCTGGAGTTCTGTGAGCTAAGAACTCGGCGAAGGTCGTTTCACCACCATGTTGGGTTTCAATGCTCAATCTCTCTAAGTAGACCTTCCAGATGGTTGGAAAAGTGATAGTTGGTAGGCAATAGGTCTAGTGTGTAAAATGTTTG